CCCATTACCAGGTGACTAGCAGGTCACTTTGGGCCAAATTGCAAAATCCGAATTTCTATTTTTTCACATTGACCCCCATTTCTTCCTTCTCTTCTCCTTATACTCCCATAAATTATATTCTTTTCTTTTTCAACACACTCCCATTTAATTTTTTTTCTCTCCATTCTTTTTCCCATCTTTTCTTTTATTTTGTGTTTTTTCTTTCTTTTTTTCTTATGCTGTACTAGTTGACACATTAAGGCAGTGGCTTAGGGCACGTAGCGTTTGCCGCTGGTGAAATGGAATGTCAGTCAGCTTTGAAATGTCTAAATTGAAACCTTTTTGCCTCGAGTTACCCTCCCACCTGCAATCCACATTCACTGCCTGGCCCCTATCCGTTTGAGATTTTGCAGCTTTCCATAGCTCTCTGACCCAACGAGGAGATATGTTGAATTCATTAGCCACTGTTATCAGTGACCCGTGCTGAAGTTTGCCGTTTTTGAAATTTTGTAGTATTGCCTAAATTATTCGCTGCCTTCTTTCGTTTCTTGCTTGCACACCGGAAATACATGCGATGTTGTTTATTTAAGGGGTGTTCAAAGCCTCGAAAGGTACTTCCAACAGTGGAGGCAGGGAGACATCGGCTGAGTCGGCATTGGCATCTCCAAAACGAGAGGAAGTTGGAAGAGGTGACGGTTCCATCAATGTTAATTGAAGGCAGACAGATTATATGGATCATTTATTTTCATTCAAGACATGTTTAGGGAGAGATGAATGCATTTAATGCTTTGGTGTATTTATATTGAGAAGTGGTAGTATTAGGTTGAAATATTTGGAGGGCTTTTTAAATTTTTTCCCAAACAAAAAATTTGTAATCTTTCCCTCTTTTGTTATGGTTGCCGTGTGAAATGCAAAGGGTTTTGGTGGAGTCATTTAATGCTTCCACTATTCATGACAAGTTAGTCATTATTATCCTCATTATTTTATTCTCACATTTGCCCACTTTTGCTATGTACCCCACGTGAGTAAGAGGGCAATATGGGAACGTCTTTGCCAAAATATGGGTTCCTTATTTTGGCTAAAAGTCAAAAGAGGAACCCTTTTGGGAAACGGAGGGAGTATAAGGTATGAGAATACATTTTTTTAAACCAAGGGAACACTTTCATTTATTTTATACATGGTAACTTATTTTATACCATAATATTACCATATTATTATTATTATTATTATTTCACATGTTACCTTTTTACTCTCTAACATGTAAAGTCCATGGACGGTACCACATTATTACCATATGCTTTCACATGAGAATACATTTTTTAAACCAAGGCAACACTTTCATTTATTTCATACACGGCAATATATTTTATACATGGTAATAGCACAAAACGAACGTACCTTTTTTAATTTTTTTTTATTATTACCTTTCTTAGTGTAATTATTATTATTATTATACGGTACCATAATATTACCACATTATTATTATTATTATTCTTTCACATGCAAAGTCAACGGGGGTACCATATTATTACCATATGAGAGAGTAAATAATTATGAGATTATAGCGTGTGTGAGTAAATAATTATGACATTACCTTATACACGGAACCTACATTTTGCACTTATCATTTCAAATTTTAGCACTTAATAAATAATAAGTAATAATTAAAGTTTCATATGTTATTTTTTTATTACACCGTACCAAAAATTTAAAGGTATGAAATTATCTTATTAATAATTAATAATTAAAGTTTCACATGTTTCCTTATTTATTACACAGTATTACAAAGTTTAAGGTATGGAATTAGTTTATCAATAAATAATAATTAATAATTACAATTTCACATGTTACTTTTTTTATTACACACAGTACCAATAATAATTACTACATTTATTATTATTATTATTATTATTATTATTACTATTATTATTATTATTATTATTATTATTATTATTATTATTATTACACGGTATCATATTATTACCATATATTGTCATTAAAGCTTCACATGTTACCTTTTCTATTATTATTATTATTGTTGTTGTTGTTGTTGTTATTATTATTATTATTATTGTTATTGTTATTATTTATTATTATTATTATTATTATTATTATTACACAGTACTATAATAACTAATAATTATTAATTACTTTATACACAAAACCTACATTTTGCACTTAGCAATTCAAGTTTTAGCACTTACCTTTTTGTGGCTGAAATGTTTAGGTGGGAAAATGCAATGGGAAGTTTCCCTCTTTTTAAATAGAGTATAAATATCTCTTCTTCAAATTTTTATTATTATAAACATGTATGGATTTGAGCCTCTATATATAATGAAAGGGTTCACTACAAACACTTATACTCCTTCCGTCATAAAATAATCTTCCTAGTTTGATTTACAAGGTTTGACTGAAATTATTTTAAATTCAATTTATTTGATTATATGTGTAAAATTAAAAATTAAAAATTATATATTTTAAAACTACATCAAAATTTCTACAAAACTAAAGGTTGGATGACTATATTATTTTATCAAATAACTAACGAAAATTAGTAAAGAAATTAATTAAACTTTGACCATGTGAATAGTGACTAGAAAGACCATTTTAGGACGGAGGAAGTACAGATCAAAGGAAAATACTTAATGGTGACTATGCTCCTACACACCTTATTGATGTTTGGTGGAGGGGGTTGAGCTATAGTTGAATAAATAACATTCACATTATTTCACTTCATAACACTCCCACTTGAATGTTCATTTTTTAATTAATGTTGTATGGGTAGTTCATGAAATGAACGTATATTGAAAATCATCTGAATTTTATGTACTCCCTCATTAAAAACATTGTCAAGAAAACTCAGTGGGATAAAAACCTGATCAAGGGAAAAAGAATACAGCGCATAAAATTCTCTCCCTCAGCTTAGCATAATTGATAGAAGAGACGCATGTCAATCTTGTCTACGAGCTCTTTAAATCTCTCTGGGAAAATGCCTTGGTAAATAAATTAGTAGGGTTCTCACTTGACTTGAGTTGCTTAATCTCAACCTTTCCATCTTTCTCGAGATCATGAGTTGAAAAAAACTTTGGTGATATGTGCTTTGTTCGGTCTCCTTTGATGTAGCCTCCTTTTACTTGAGCAATGCATGGAGTATTGTCTTCATATATATATGAGTTGGATAGCTAGTGATTTTTTCTATACCGTATTCGCCCTGGATATGTTGGATCATTGATCACAACCATATACATTCTCTACCTATTTCGTAGAGAGCTATCAACTCTGCGTGATTTGATGATCTGACAATCAAGGTTTGCTGCATTGATCTCCATGAAATTGTGGTATCTACATAGGTGAACACATATCCTATTTGAGATTTTTGTTTTTTTGGATAAGACAAATATCCTGCATCAGCGTAACCGGCTAGAGTATCATTAGCACCATTGTAGTTAAATAGACTGGGCGATGGTACCGTTAAGATATCAGAAAATGTATTTTATGCCATTCCAATGCCTCCTAGTTGGGGGGGGGGATGAACTGTATTTGGCTAACAAGTTCATTGAGAATGCAATATCTGGTCGAGTATTACTTTC